TGATCCTGCTTCTCTTGGGCTTCCCCTTGGCTTAGAGTTGCTCCTTACCAAGGACACTCACGGTTTCTTCTTCTGATCCAGGTGGAAGCCATTATCAACCCCAAGTTCCTGGAACAAGTAGAATCTACAGATGTAGAGACAGATATCGTCTTGGCTGGAAGTGAGGTGCTAGAAGAGGAACATGCACTCACTCTTGACCAGGTAGGCCAGGTGCATGAGGGACACCAGATGGACAAGGGATGGAGGGGCACCAGAAAGACAAGGGCAGGGGCACTAGATTAACAAGACAAGGGGAGGGATCAACAGGCACAGGAGGGAGAGAGGGGCACCAAGTAGGACAGGGGAGTATGAGGGGAGAGGGAGACAAGTGATGGAAGGACACCAGGTAGATTTGAAGGAGGGACATCAGGTAGACAGGGGAGGGAAGGATACCAGGTAGATCTTCATCAAGATGAAGGGGGGACCCTGCACACCAGGTCCCTGTGACTTTGTCCAGCCCTAATCTAGCCAAGAATTGCTGTCTTCTAGAGAGAGGCTGCACCCAGAGGGTCATGAGCATGGGGACAAGGAGGGAGGAGACCCGAGAGTGAGGAGGGCTGAGGGTGGAGGGCCGAGGGTGCAGGGCTGGAAGGAGGCTCAGCAGGGTGGTCCCAGGGACTCAGCCTCAGTCTCGGAAACTAAGACAGGTGAACCTCCAGAGCCCGCCTCCTGTCCAAATGCCCTCATTCGCATGCTGTCAGCCCTCCTCATGCCTGGTGCAGACCCAGTGAGTGCCCATTTCCTCCTGCAGCTGGTGGACAAGCGCCTCCTGGACTCCAAGACCAAGGGAGGTGTGTGCAGGCCCCAGAGCCAAGGTCCATCCCAATCTGCTGTCCACCGAGGTGCAGAGCAAGATGACTGTGACCTCAAGCGAAGGGTCAACCAGGAGACCTGCCCCGCTCCAAAAGCTCCCCGGTTCTGTAAGAGACGCAGGGCCACCAATGAAGAGCTGCCCGGGCCTGAGGTCCCTGCTGTCCTGCGCAGGCAATGCTGCCTCACGGGGGATGCGGCTCCTGTGGGAAAGGTGTCCCGCCCAGGGCCTTCCTGCCAGGTCTCTGGAGGGCAAGATTTGGCTCAGGGGCTGGTTCCACGCCCGCGGCCTAAGAAGCGAAGGCGTAACAAACTAGGCTCCCAGAGGAGGAGGAAGACCTGACTCCCATAAGGCTGCTCAGCAGACTCTGGGGTGCCCGTCCCTCAGGTGGCCCTTGGCAAGATTTCACCCTGGCTGCATCTTGCACCCCACAAGCCAGAGGTCCCTCCTCCCTGAGTTCTGATCCAGCTGCTCTGGGGCATGGAGAGGTGATGGGAGGGAGGAGCTGCTGGAGTGGGGGTGGGGTGGGGCTGTTCTTTGGGGGTGTTGTTTCACAATGTAAATAAAGATGATTGGAAAATACTCTCAGGCTTGCTGCTCCCATCTCAGCCTTTGTCTCCTCTGGGGCATGAGGACAGCAAGCAGGGAAGGACCTGGTGTGCGAAGGTCCAGGGTGCACAGGAGCCTGGCCCAGGTCTTCCCTGCACAATGGGGCTGTTCTTCCCACTGCTCCTGGGTGCAGACAGGCTGAATGCTCCCTGGAGTCCCCTTCACCACCCCACTCACAAGGCCTCATTTTGTTTAGGGGGCCTTCTGTGCCCATCCAGACCTGAACTGCACCCCTTTAACGTCCCCTTCAGCCCTCTGTACCATTAGCCAGTGTGCTAGCATGCAGCCTGCAGCTGGCACTTTTCTTAGGGACCTTCTTTCTCCTTCTTGGAAGAGCCCAGAAGGGAAGGCTAGACCGACACTCAGCTCTGGCAGGGCCCTCCTGAGAGGGTGATTTGACCAGAGGACAAAGCCTGCTTACTATGGGAAGAAGCCACTGCATCTTGGGGAAACTTCAACTGATAGCACCAGCAAGGCCTAATGAAAATGCCTTCTTTTCTGACACCAGGGAGGCCTAGCTCCTGGGGACCACCTTTTGGAGGTGCGCTTTTATTCTAACTCAGAGATGCGGGAAGTCCTCCGGGTCTCTGTGCACTCAGCCGGGTTGGTGAGAGTTCCTGATCTGTGGGACCCTGGTCAGGCTGCCTTATCAAGGTGCGCAGGCAGCTGAGACACAGCCTGACCTTAAGACCTTAAATGTTTTGGCTTCAGGATATTTTTAAAGAACACTTTATAAATGTATGCACATAACATACATTCCCTTCTTTAAACATTTTAAGGGTAGTTATTTGTACAACTTGCAATCATAAGTGCAGTGAGTGTATTCATAGAATTTTCAGCTATTGGAGTATTTGTATCACCTCCCAATACAAGCATACCCAAGCTTTAACCGTTTTTTCTTTCTTTCTCTTTCCTTCCCTCTTCCTGTCTGCCTTCCTTCCCTCCTTCCTTCCCTCCTTCCCTCCTTCCCTCCTTCCCTCCTTCCCTCCTTCCCTCCTTCCCTCCTTCCCTCCTTCCCTCCTTCCTTCCTGCCTGCCTGCTGCCTGCTGCCTGCCTGCGGCCTGCTGCCTGCCTTCCAACTTCTTCCTTCCCTCCCTCCTTCTCCCTTTTGCTCTCTCACCCTTTTGGTTCTGGGGATTGACCCCAGGACCTTTGTACTGCTCCATATACCCCAGCCCCCTTTTTTTTTCTTTTTGGTACTGAGGATTGAACTTGGGACCTTCTGCTTGCAAGGCAGGCCAGTGGCACCACTGAGCTAAATCGCTGGCCCTGTTTTTCATTTTTGAAACAGAGTCTCATTAAGTTGCTAAGTGGCCCAGGCTAGGGTCAAACTTTCAAACCCCTGCTTCAACCTCCCAGAGGGCTAGAATTGTAGGTTTGAACCCCCACGCCTAGCTCACGAGCTCCATTTTGAAAAACGGAAACACCCTGTTAATACTCTCTGCTTATATATACACAACTCACAACCCCCAAATGTAGACTTTGTCACCCCATATACACACCTGGCCACCTCACTTTTCTCAAATTTTTCCACACCAAACAGTGCATACCCACATTCTAATGTTAGCACCTTGGGCACATGTAAAACTCAACTGTGAATACACACATGTTCCCTAGGTCACCCTATCTTCTCAAATGCATGCACAAAATTCACAGCACTTCACAATGCCCTAAAAGTACAAAGAACCACCCCCTAAATACATATGTACCATGCATATATGCACACGTAACTACTCAGCACAATGAAGTTCACAATCCCAGAATACTCCAGAATAAGCCCCAGAATACACTATACTGTAATAGAGTAAAAACTCACTTCACCGCTTCACCCCCAAAACAGACATGGAGGCAAGACACAGCCTGGAAGCAGGAGGAACTCTCTCTGAAGCCTCCCTAGGATATCTCTGACCTTAGAGCAGACAGGAGGAATGTGGTGAAGCATAACTCAAGATCTACCAGACTGTCCCAGACGTTAAACCCTCTCCCTCCACCAGGGTACCCAGCTCCTCAGCACACAGGACCCCACACTGGCACACTGGGGGCTGGCATACGGGGAAGAGTCCCGTAGCGCTAATCAGCCAAGGTCGTCCCTGTGCCCTAAAGCAAAACTCTCCAAGCCTCTGCACACCATCACCACATGCTCCACACAGCGGACTTTCTTATTTAGAAGAAGGAATCTTCTGTTTATCACTGGAGAAAAGGTAAATCAATCTCAATCACATAATCTTTTAATCCTAAATATGACCAAAGGTCAGCAATCACAAAGTATGAGTGAGAAAGAAAAAAATGAGCAGCACCACTACTCCCCAAATGATCTGAAAACCAAAATGATTATAAAGAAGCAGTGCCTTGCCTTAGTCACTTTTCCCTCACTGAGTCACAATACCTGACACCTGCAACTTAAAGTAGGAGAGGTTTATTTTGGCTTCAGTCCATTGCTGGGTGGCTCCAAGGTAGGGTGCATGGCACAGGGGCAGACAGAGGAAAAGCTGCTGACTTCATGGCAGACAGAAAGCAGAGAGTTAAGGGAGAAAGAACCTTTCGGATCAGCCCCCCCCCCCAAATGTCCAGCATCTTCTGATCAGGCCCCGTCTCCTAACAACAAGTCAGCTCTCAGGCCTCGTAATCAATTCACCTCTAAAAGCCCTGCCTATGAGCACATGAGGCTCTTGGGAGCATGTGCAGATATAAAACTTAACACATTCTTAAGGAAGTAGAAGATACCATCATCACGAGATAGAAACAAGAGGCTATGGAAAAGGCAAACAACAAGCTCTTGAAAATTAAAAACTGAATAAAGAGAATTGGCAGTTTCTGGTCTGGCATATCAAGAGCTTGAAAGTTGCTAGTCTGTCGTAATAGGCAGCAAAAAGCTGAACTAGCTAAAAAAAAAGAGAGAGAGAGAGAGAAAGGGGGAAAGAAAACACACATACAATTGTACTTAGATTGGTCAGGGAATCAAAGTCACAGGGAGAACTGCTCTCCCCAAAATTGGAGAGAAAGACAGCAAATACAGACAGTTACAACTTATTTAATCACAATTCTCCATGGGGACCAAGGCTCATTTTATCCTATTGCTTTGTTGTTGCATCTACTTTAAGATTTTTGCACCTATTTTAAGAAGTATAGTGCCCATAGGTTTGAATTTAGGCTGCCATCTCCACCTACTTTAGGTAGTCAAGTTAACTTGGCCTCATAGAACAGTGAACTTGGAATTTTCCCTCTTTGTGTAGATAATTCAGAAGAATCAGAAACCAACAGTAAAATCACCTGGACTGAATTCTTTTTTTAAAAAGCAGACTTTTAACATGACTTTCCTCTTTTTAGTTTTTCAATTTTAATAATGTTCTCTCACCTTCTGTATTTCATCAACTGATGTTATCAATTTAACTATTTTAAAGAAATAATCCATTTCATTTGAGTCTTCAAATCTCTTCACAAAAAGCTGGATATCCTTCATAGACTCCATCAATTTAATAAAATCTAAGTTGCTACTGACTGACAGTCACACCATTTTTATACAAATCATGAAGAAATAATCTAAGTTGATGGCTGACAGTTTATCTGTAGCAAATGTGCTTTCAAGTGTTCATTTTTTAAATAGCTGAAGACTTTTGTTTAAGCTTCTTGAGATATTTGTGCAATGACATGTTCACACACACATGAAACAGAAAACATACTGGCTGAGAAGTTCCTAAGATGAGTTCCCATCAGGGGCTGCTGCTCTGAGTCACTTCTGGAAACAGATCTCTTATCTCTGTGGCACTTCTCTTGGCTCCATTCCTCTTCTCCTCTGCAAATGCTCTCAGCTACTGGATTTTTCTCAGAAAGACATCTGGTCTTGGAGTCCAGAATCCCACAGGTACCATGCTCCAACACAGATATGCCGAACAACAGAAGGAAAACTCAAGCTCTTTTACTGAGTTGTCCTCCTAATGCCCAGCTTGTCTGCCAGCATTACCCCAGAACATATGCCTGCTGAAGAGAGCTGTCTGTCTGTCTCACAGTGTCTTTCCAGGTTTGCTGTTTGCCAAGGGAGAGGGAGCCAGGAGTCCAGCTAGTTCACAGACACGTCACAAAGGCTCTGTTATGAGAACTTTATGTTTGATAAAAGTGACTCTAGGCCCAGGGCTCTAGTTCAGTGGCATGGAGCCTGCCTTGCAAGTGCAAGGTCCTGAGTTCGATCCTCAGTATCCCCTGAAAAGTGACTCTGAATTACAAAATGGCAGTGCTAAAATGACCAGTCACTTTAAAAGAAAATAAAATCCCCAGAAGATACCCTTAATGGAGTAGTGGGACCTAATTTCTAGGGCTACTTCTGAAGAGTTATTTTGCTCTTAACAGATGGCAACCAGGCAGCATAAGCCTTTCTTCATGTACAGGGATTTGAGTTTATTGCTAAAAAAAAAAAAAAAAAGCAACATCTGGAACACTGATGTAAAGTGTCTTATCTTACAGGGTGGAGGTCTTTGTGTTCTAGGGATCCTGTTTTATATGTAACTGCTGATGTAGCTCGAGGGGATAATGGGACTACCCTACATAAGGAGGACAGAGGCATGAGTGGAACACTTGAAAGGTCTCATACACAAGGGAGCAGCTGCTTTCTTAGAGCCCTTGCCTTGGTGGCCAGAAAAAAGGAGTTGGCAGGGATGAGCACTAATGTGAGCCATGGCAGGGATAAAAATCTGATGTCTGGCTGCTCCATGGAGATAATGGTAGTGCCAATTTTAGATGACAGAATTGAGCAATGAATTAGGTTGATGTAAAATTAGTCAGTATGCTGAATACTGATATGCTTTTCTCGTGTTTTATTTTGGTTTAATATTTTCATGCTCTTATGGTTT